GTGCAGGAAGTGCTACTTCAAGTATTTGCCAGAGCCTAGCAGGTTTTTTTCAGATTTAGGGAGTTTCTCTAGTGAGAATTGTAGAATCATCGAATCATTTAGGTTAGGAAAAGACCTTTAAGATACTCAGGTCCAACCCTTAACCCAGCACCACTAAACCATGTTTCTCAGTGCCGCACTTACATGTCTTTTAAATACCTCCAGGAATGGTGCCCCACTTCCCCAGGCAGCCTGGTTCCAGGTCCAGCCTGGTGTAACCACTGGACCAGGTTACACAACCCTTTTGGTAAAGAAATGTTTCCTCATATCCAGTCTAAGCCTCCCCTGGCGCAACCTGAAGTCAATATATTCTGAACCCTGACTTTGTAGATATTCTCGCTCTGGGAACTGTCAGAGGGAAAACAAGGAGCTGTCCTGGCATTTGTTAATCAAACATTGCAGCACATTTGTGAGTGGGGTCAGCTGCAAGTCCCCTATTTTTACAGGTTGCATTTGCTGCCCAGAGTTGCCAGGACATCAGTTTCTGAGCTCTGGGTTTGCTTCCCAACAAAGCAGGGTGCTTTAAAAATGATTTATCTTCCTCAGATTATTCTCTCTCCCTGCCAGCAATGCTTGCTGCATCATTGCAGTGGATATTACTTGTTCTAAATGAGTTATAGAGGCAGGATAGACTCTCTTTTGGCCTTTTTGCTATAACAGGTTTATCTTGTATCCCTATCATCATAGGGCTCAATATTGGCAATCTAATGTAGCCTGTATATAAAACTCAAATATATATGGAAATTTTGGAACTCTAAAACACGTGGACATCAGCTTTCTGAGTTTTGGACACAGGGTGGCTTGGAATAAATAACATCCCTGTTCTCCACAGAAAGATATTTTTAGTATTTTGTTTGTGGTTTTATCCACATCATCAGGATTCAGTAGTCTTTTTAATAGGAAAACTCTCCTGTGTTAAAGGTTTGAGGGTACCTGAAGATTTCAGAGTAACTAATAGTGTGCATATTGCTACTGCTATTTAAATACTAATTGCTAAGATTTATTGCTTAACTTTTAATGTTAAAGGTCAGGTTTGTCCTGTCTCATACCATGCAAATCTCATTGAATCTGTAATCAGAATCTGACCCAATAGAAAGATTTTTATCCTGTGATCTAACTACAACTTTTAAGACAACAGTTAACTTGGCTTGACATTCTGATTTGATCTTAAACAGGAACCATATTCCTTTGAATAGGATTTATTGCATCCATTTGAATCAATAATGCTGTTAAAAGAACAGTGGGAAAGAAAACTGAAAATATGATGTGAAGTGTATCAATTAAAAAATAGTAAATTTTATAGAAAAAGGAGGCAAAATTGACAGTCAAAGTATCAACCGAGGGCTTGGTTCTGGTGCAGGGATAGATAGTGTAAGTATTTAATCAAAGCAGCTGAAAACCTCCTGCAAGACATAGATCACAGTCAAGTCTGAGAGGAGAGGCAGTGAGGGGAAGGAAACCTCTTGACAGCTTCTGGATGCCTTTAGGTGCACTGTATGCTAACAGTCTCACTGCTTGAAATATTTATAAAACGGGATATTGAAGGTCTCAGAACAGAGGCTCCCGTGGCAGATAGACACATCTTTTGGATCCTGTCTCGCCAGTGGAAGAGGTGACAGCCACCGGTGCTTGTCACTGCTTCTTTCTGCCAGTCCTGTCCCCATCGCTCCCCACCAAGCCCTGGGAAAAAGGCTCCTGGGAAGCATCATCCCGTTGAGCTGTTCATCCGATGTGCAGGTCTGGGCTCACCTGGCTGCCCCCATCAGCACACAGATTACTTTGGAAAGGATCAAAAAGGAGAGAGAGGAGGAAAAACACCCCTGGGAGACAGTAGCGAGCAGCTGCTGTCCTCACAGAGGGACAGTCATGGTTAGAAGTACAACCTGGAAAGGAGGACACAGCCTAGTAATGCCAGTTTGTGGCTTTGCCTTTAGCTCTGCTGTTGACAACTGGCTGGGCAAATTATTTCACCTAGCTGTGAGTTTTTAACTCTTCCTTGGCAATGCTGTTAATAATCACAGCTATTGTGCGGGTTGTTTAAACCGTGCAAATAGATGGGCAGTGAGATGGCACTATTTTTTTACTGTTAATAATTACATGCCAGAGTGATCACTTGCCATCAGTTATTTCTAACAGCCACTTGGACCCAAAGTCCTTTTCCATGAGGATGACTGCTCTGCAAGGTTCTGCTGTAATGAAGCAAATCTTGGCAACTTGCTGCACACTCATGCCAAATTCCAGCTCATAGGCAAGAGACACCAGACAGGATAAAACCTGCAAGATTTGGTTCAGTAATAAAGTTTTGCAATTCTCTAGCTGTGCGCATCCAAAGGCTTTATGGTGCTTGAGTGGGTTTGAAAACCCTCTGGGTTCAATTGCAGTCCTCTTGATTTCCTTAGCTTTACATTCTGAGCACGTCGGAGGGGCAGGGAGCTGTGAGTGGACTGTGTGTGGAGCCTGGCGGCAGTGGCCTCTTCATTAGGAGAAGAGGGATGTGTGCTGTCTCAGAGTACTTAGCTCCAATTAACTGATTAGCTTGAGGTAAAATCCTAGCAAACACAAGGCTGTTTGACGTTCTGAAGTCAAAGACTGCCTGCTGTCTTCTGTTTGGAATACAAACTGTCTTGGGGTTTTTTTTGGTGTAGTTCTTGGGAGGGCTGAAGAAGAACTGCATTCAGCCTGGCCAGGGCATCATGTACTCTGGATCACGTCCAGGGAAGCTGCTGCCCTAGAAGTGACAGAATGTGTGGGTGCCAGATTCCCATCCCGTGGTGTGTGCCTGAGGATGGGTACATGACTCAAGAGATCTCAAAGACTCTTCTCTTGTGTTTAGAAGAAAACAGTTAGAAAAAGGAAGAAAGTCTGGTTGGACGTATAGTGCCTGGCTGTGCCACAGACATCTTGTTTGATTGCAGATGAGAACATTGTAATTTCAGAATATAAGGTATTAAATTAAAGCTGCAAAAATCATAAATCTGATCTTTGTTTGTTCATAGGTTTTGTTTGTTTTTAATTCCTGAGCTGAGGCTGTGACTCTGCATTGTCATCCAGTTCCAGTGTTTTACAGTTCAAAATGCCCCTACACATACATCTGTACTCACTCATGTGTATTATTAGTAAAAACTGTTGCTCCTTTTGATGTACAATTAGAGACAGACTATGCAATTACTTCTACAAAAGCATTAATATGATTGGACTAAATTCTGTCTTAACAGGAGACATGATATTTATCTTTAAACTTCAAGAGCATGGCTTGTGAGCCTCTGAATGGGATTCCCAGCATGGAATTAGTGTACTGTAAGCAAAGGATCATTTTTACAGTATTAATTTCACCTGAGTAGGTAACTGATCAAATTCAGGTGTTTCTGACAGTTTTGTCAATCACTTATTTTGTTTTTCTACTCTATTTTTTTTTCCATTTTTCCTACCAGATTACACCAGGCTGTTATTATAGAAAATACCATTACTGCTGTCAGTGCCCTGTATTGCTGCTGTGCATTGTGTATGCAGGATGGGGGCACCTGCAGCATGCTGTGCACATCTTTGCTGCATCCCTGCTTTCTTAGTGAGCTCAAGTGAGATCAGAAGAATGTTTGCCTTCATATGAACTCTTGAAAAGACAGCAAGAAAAAGCATCAGCTAATTTCTATGGATGGTGGTTTTCCAATTAGTCCAAGTGTTTCAGGCTGCAGGCTGTGCAGTGCTGTCCTAGGGGGTGCAAAAGGTGATGCTAATGCTCTTTCCGTGTCAGGATGCATGAGTTTGGTGGCACAATGCCCCCTGCTCCCTTCTTCCAGTGCTCACACAGCCTGACACCCCCCTGTGCAGATTAATTCAGAAATATAAAATGAATGGAAATAAGTACAAATATGCCAATGTATGCATTTAGCACTCCTGGCAGCATCTTTGGTTTTATTCTTCTTTTCCCCCCACCCTGTTGAGCCACTCATGATTGTAATGTTTCATTAACAGTACAAGTGTGGGGGAGATTCTTCCAGTAGAATAGCCTCACAAATTCTCATTTGGTTCTTCCATGGTTTTTAAGTGCAGTATATGGGTTTATACTTATTAAGCACCTACATCACAATTTCTGATCTCTGAAGGTTGAGGTTTTGATATTAAGTATGACTTAAACCCTTGTTTTTATGAGGTTTCGAAAGCCTCCAAGTATTTGTTGCCTTAATGTTCATTGCATCTACAACTTCCTAACAGCCTGTGACAAAATGCACGCTTGCAAATGGTAATGAGAAGCAGTTTTATTTTATGAGCCGCACGAATTCAAATGCCTGTGCTTGCACCAGCCCCTGAGTCACGGAACAGCGGAGGGATGGTGATAGCCTCTGATTAATCCCAGACGGGCTGTGAGCCAGCAGCAACCTGAGGCTGGAAGCTCCATCTGCAGTCTCCAGCCCGCTCAGCCATGCAGGGCCCCAGGGATTTCGCTTGGGGCCTGTTATTCCTAGGCAGAAGGCAAAGCAATCCATTGATTACGTACTGGTCTGGGGTCCTTTGTGATTTTATGTTCCCAGATAAAACACTGTCCAAGTATGGATATTATTTAAACAGTTTTTTAAGCAGAAAAGGAGATCTGGTTTTTTCTTTGTTTTCCCTAATCTGTCTCACAGATGAGAAATTCTGGAGATCACAGTGCTGTTTGAAGCTCAGCTCACTTCTGACATCTAAGAATGTTCCTCCACCGGTTCTTTCAGAACGTGGTTCTTTCATAAAACTTTATTTCTAGAATATATTTTTTCCCACCTTGAATCCTAGTAAGATGTTTTAGGCAGCTGCATTTTAATCTTCAGCATTAATTAACTTGGTAAAGTATAAAGTAGCAGAAGCATGGCTGACAATATTAATGAAAGTAATGAAAACAGATTAATGACTAAATCCAAAGAAACAGAAGCCCAGCCTCCCTGCAGACATGGATATTAATTAGATTTCCTTTGTTTCTCTCGGAGGGTGGGAAGTTTCTCCTACTCCACCAATTTCTGCAAGTGCCAAAGAATTTACTTTGTGCCTGGTTCCAGTTTGAGCTGCAGGCAGAATCTGGTGAACAGAGTGAAATACTGTGAGGAACATGGATTTCTGACCTGACAGTAAATGTGACAAACCAGTAATCTTAATGGGATATTTTGTTTCTTGAGGTGACCAAAAAGGATGGAGAGAAGCTCTGCTTTGGGGTGTTTATGCACACTGAATCTCTGAGATTGCTTTGCTTGGGTAAGAAAGACAGGCATACACCTGAGCAGCATCTACCCAACTTATTAGGGGAATTTAAACATACAGAAATGGATAAAGGGAAGGAGATGAATTTGGGACATTCTGCCACAACAGCTGCTGGCCTGTCTGCTCAAATAAATAAGACCAGTAAATGTCTTGAGGGCAAATCAAATAGAATCTCAATGCAATAATATGTAAATAGCTACTGGGTATTTGGCATGCTTGTGTTTCCTAAGTTCTCCTAGTTTGTGTTGAGTGCACCCTTCCCTCACTTGATTTCAACAGGCAAAACACATACAAGCCACAGCTTCTTACAGTGATGGTAAGGCATAACATCTCAATAACGTCTCAATATTGGTGTGCCCAGAGCCTTTGTCCAGGGAAAGAAAGTGATGATGGACTGAAAATTAACAAGAGCACTGTAGTGTATATTTCTGGGTCTATGACTGTGTCCTGCTTAGGGAATCAGATAAGGTTGATTTGCACATTCCTTCTGTTAATGGCTTTGTGATCCTGCAGCAAACTCAATTTGTATCCATAATGAAAACTTACAATGTTAGTGGCAGTATTAATATCAGTGTAATTAATAATGCTATTTATATCATCAAGAGACAGTCACTAATTATGCAGAAGGATTTATATCTAACATCAGATTAACCTTCTCTCACCAGGCAACAGCTTGAACTTGTTTTCACCCAAGTAACTCATTAAGGGAGATGCTCAGAAGCATTGCCATGGGCGCAGAGAGCTGCTGCATGAGGGCAACTGAAATGTCATCGTCAACTGCAGCACTGCCAGGTGAGTGAAGTCTTAGGGCCAAGGTTTCCATAACTGAAGTTAAATAAAGTTACACTTCTAAATAAAGTTCTCTCATGCCTCTGAAAGGGGACCTGGTTTTCAGGAACATACCAGTGGGACCAGCACATCTTTGTTCAGAACAGTTCTTTACGTTTAGGTTTGTCAGGAGCTGGATCATTCCTCAGTTATCTCATGTATAGGTCAAGTTTCTTCACTTGTTTATAGCAAATAGTGGGTACCATGCTAAAGAGAAATGTCATTTATAAAGCCAGAGACCAGAGGAGATTGGGTCATTCCCAGCAAAGGTATTTCTCTTGATGAGGTGGACTCCACGTGGGTGAAAAGTGTGTGAACTTTTTTTGGTTTAATTGATTTCATTCCTACTTTATGATACTTGTTTATAGAAGTCCCAAACATTTTAACTGGTCAAATTCCTTCACTCTGTGGTTTGGTTTATTTTGTTTTATATCAGCTCCTTTCTACCTAAATGACTGGAGAACTGGTATGGGGATGGAGAAAGAAATACCATGAAGATAAAGGCTGATCCATGGTGAGGATAAGAACTTCTTTCAAACTATTTGAAGCTCACTGGTTTTTTGTAGTTCTACTTTAATTCAGACTTCTGAGAAACTGTGAGGCATGAGATGTCTTTGTGAAAATTCATTACTTCTTTCCCTTTATTTAAAGAAGAAGAAATAAGAGTCTGAATCAGAGACTGCTGATGAGTTATATGGGAAGGTCAGAATTGATAGCAGCTGTAAAGAAGAACAAAACTGCTTTAAAACCTCATTCCTTTCTGGTGATAAAAAACTCACCTAATATCAATTATTTTTCTCTTTTATGGACCTGTTTCAAGTGAAGGGTTTTTGTTATATGCAGTTTCTTCTCTGAAAACGAAGTACATTGGTAACAAAAAGTAATCCTTCCTTTGGGTAAGCTTTAATCCATGAACTCTGACAACCTAGCAATCAAGGCTTGTTTCTTCATCCACAGGCTTACAGTCTAAACCGCACGAAGGTTTGTACATGTGCAGTGCACAGCCAGAGCAATGTCCCACGCCCGTTTGCCATGTAAAAATGATGTTGTGGTAAGAAGACAACGGGGTTCCCAATAAGAGGTTGGAAAGCTGTCAAAACAGCTGCTAAATCAGCTTTTGATAGGAGCTGACTTTCTAAAGACTGCTTGAACTACTTCAGATAATTTATGCGCTTGAAATTTTAGCCATTGAAAACTAGAAGTCTCAGATATTTTACCACTGACAGCCAGCTGTGCCTTACCCTGGTTTTTCTAGCAACCAGCAGTGTATATCAAAAGGTAATGGGCTTTGGATTAGATAGTTATGGTGGAGGCAGTGTCATCTGAAACCTGTCATAGCTTGATTCAGGCTATCGTGGAGATGTCTAGTAGTGCTAAATCAGTGCTTGGTGCTCTAAAGATACTACTCTTGTACAAAGGCAGAGCAATAGTTGAAAATCCCATTGTATCCCTTCTGGTACTACATGTTCTCTGCTTTTTTTATTGAGCTTATCAAATGTTATAGTAACATAACTGCTCTATGACTCCACAGTTTCATGAGGGAGGTGGGAGTGGGAGGAGAGAGAAAAGCTGTCCTTAAAATAAAAAGGTTGAATAGTAAGTAGAATAATGGGATATAATATCCAGATACTCACACTAGGGCTTCTGAACAGTCATCAGATAATCCCATTACAGGGACATGCAGGGGCATAGCCGGAGCAAAAACACTAGAGACCAAATTCAGCCTCGATGCAACCAGAGGCAGCAAATTCATGCGTGAAGCTCAGATTGTCCCTGGACCCTTTGGGAGGATAATGGTCTGTCGCACTGCCGCGTTAGCTTCAGCCTGGCTCCATGGAGGACAGATGGGTGCACAGAGGGAGACAGATTGTCCTGCCCTTGACCCAGCTCCTGGTGATGGTGCAGAGCTTTGGGTGCTTCCCAAGGGGCTGGCAGCAGCTCTCAGCGGAGCAGCAGGGTGGTACCCGCCAGCTCTACTGCTGCCTCCCGCCATGGGAGCCTGGTCAATACTGCTTGACTTGATTTAAGGGTTTCAGTTTTCAAGGGAAACAGACTGCTCTTTTGTAGCTGGAAAGAAATGTGTTTGCAGTGCGATTAGTACCCAGCTCAGGATCAGTACCTTGCTGCTCTTCGTCCTGAGAGACTGAGCTTGTGCAGAGATAAAGGTATGATTCCAGGAATATGAATGTCAAGCTGGGCCTCATTCTATCCATAAAATGAAGATGTGTGTGAGTTCCAGTCTATTTATTGAATTAGAAAAACAATATAGCTCACACTTTTCTTCCTCCTTTAATGTTTCATATTCGCACCTTGAAGCATCTTCTATCTCTCAGGCAGGCCTCAGTTTCACATTCTCCTGGGTAGCTGGTAGTTACCATTTAATCTTCATTTACCTTCCTCGAGATGAGAGTATTGGCCCTGAAGCTGGAAAGGCCTGCACAGACACCCTGCTCTGACTGATAGGTGAAGTTAGGCAGGAATTACCTGAGGCTTCCTACAACAAGGGGAATATTTTTTTGTTATAAAAAAGGATGAGTTTGCAAGTGATAGCAGAATAACACTCGTGGGTTTACTTCCCAGCCTTGTAAGGCTCCCTTCAACCTGAACCATGAGTCTTGGGTTTGAGCCTGTGCCAGAAGACTGGACATCAGTCTTCCCTTGCAACCCGCCTTCTCTCCAAAGAGCCACCACAGCACCTTCATGGGGATCAGGCTGGGCACAGCATTTGCTGGCTTATGCTGCCTGCAAAAGCCGTGGTGCCTCCTCTGGCGATGCTAGGGTTTGAAGTCTGAGTCCCACCGCAGCCTTGTGGGCTGATCCAAGCTCTCTGCAATCAAGGGAAAGATTTAACTGACCCTGGTGGGTGTGGATCCAGCCCTGAGTTGTTAACATTCAACAGGAGACAAACACCCGCTCATTTCTGTAAGTGTGAGTTGCGCTCACCAAATACTTAAACTGTCCATATAAGACAAGAACACTCACAACAAAATCTGTTGTTTAACAGCAGGCATGACATTGAGCTCTCAGTCTACAGCAAGCCCATCCTTTTGTCATTGAACATTTAACTTCAGATTATTTGGCCTTTCAGCAGAAGCCCATGGATTCCTCCAGTGACCACAGTGTGCTGAGTAACAGCATGGCTTTTACACATGCTCTCACACAAGGGAGGAAAAGCACTGCAGAGTTCTATATAAATTAACTTTTCATGTAAAAGCCCTAGAACAATGGGTCTTCAACATGCATGTATAAATAATTAGTGCCGTTATAAGTTGGCTGGTTTCTTGTTAATTGACTGTTTGTATGTATTTATTGACTTTGAAAATTATTCCAAGCTTTTCTGCTAAATCAAAGGAGCTGACTTTCCATCTTACAACGGTCTCCACGCGTCGAGTTTATGAACAGACTTCCCCTAAGTTACAGAAGGAAAAGGCTCCCCTCTTGTGGCTACCAAGGAAAATGACATTTTCTGCATCGTACTCTCTTTAGTTGGAGAGGAGCACGTCAGTTGTAAAATTCCAGTTATCTTACGCCACAGAAGGCAGTTTTGCACTTGTGGAGTGCTGTAACTCTTCTAGCAATCTCCTCAGTAGCCGCGAAGCAAATGAAATATTTGGGGAGAACCGATTTATTTAAGTTGTAACTAAAAGCCATGATCTGTATGAGCAGTCGTTGACATTAGACTTCAAGAATGGATTTTAGGCTGGTTAGCATTTGCTCGTAGTAAATTTTGATTTCTATGTGTTATTTTTCTTTGGCTCTATAAAGTCCGCTCTCAGACAGAAGACCTTACAGGTAAATGTTTAAACCGTTCTGTAACTCAGTAGGCATTCATACAGATGATCAGTTTTTTTATTGTTTTAGATGCGCTAACAAACATACGTTATTCACGGGATTGCCGGTTTCGGTGGTGTGAAACTGCTTTTGAATAAACCTGAATTGTAATTTAAAAGTCACAAAAGCAGCAGCTTAAAATTGTTCATTAAAAGCTGTCTTTAAATACTTGGGATACATCCGGAAGGAAAGCAGTGAGTTTACACAGGCACACAGTTAAAATGAATGTAGTTTTGAACTAAGGGAAGTTTTTCTCAAAGTTGAGACTTGAAGCACTTGTTTCTTGTCAATGTGTCTGCTAAAGTTTTGGCATTGGCTAATAGCACTTAGCCTCTCACACCTCATTTGTATGTAAAAGTTGGAAGAAGAAAACTAACTTTCTTGCTTTTTCAACTCTAGCTGGTTTCTCACCATTGAATGACCCACTCATTGAACACAGATATACTGAAACACAAACACACTGCATTTTCTTTCCTCTGCATTCCTACAGAAGAAACAATTGCTACCCAAAGTAGAGCTCATTTAACTGTCCAGCTTCTTGGAGCATAACTTCCTTCAGTCACTTGCTTGACTTTCTTCATAACATCAGCAGCAATGATGTGCGATTTGTAATGTATGTAAATAATTTATATAAAATATAAAATAGCTTATATTAAATTTATGCCTCAGTGTAAGTTCTTATTATTTCAGATTGGCATTTTATATTTGTTTCTTTTCAAAAGAAACATACCTGTTAAATAATCTGCTTTTTTTTTCTTTAATCTGTACTTCATTCATTGTAGAGACACTTAAATTCCAGGAAATAATTTAATCCTGGGATTTGAACTGGACGTACAAGAAAACGGTGAAAGTTTTGAATTCAAGGCTATGATCTTGGACAACTCTCAAAAGGAAATATAGAAAAATGAAGTTCAGGAAAAAGGAAAGGCACCCTGAAATTAGAACTGTTGTTAATTCACATATAATAGAACTGATTTAGATTTTAGTTTTAACCTTGGTGCTATTTTTATACTATGAAGAAGCTAAAATGGGAAGTCTTATGCAACAAAAATCTAAATAGAAACAATTCCTTGTTGATTTCTACATTTTGATACTGAGGAAGACTTGTCAGTTTCAAATTTGGTGCATCTCTTATTATCATTATTGTTATTACTATTAATGATCTTTAAAATGAAATGCATTTGGCCCAATCCTTTGATACCTAGTAGACCTATTCACTTGTAGTTATTAGTTTGTGGAACTAACCCCTGTCATTTTCTCTCTGTTGAGCAGATCAGTTCAAAAAGACCTGAAAATGGGATGGAAATGGAATTGCACTTTAGGGCAACAAGAGGTCACAGCACTTGTGTGAGTATCAGTTCTCATATCTGATGAGAATACGGGTTGCTCTGTTTGTGTTCCCTGTCTTTGGCCGCGTTCTGTGTGATACTGTTCTGTACCACCAATAACATTTTGAATGTCACTGGTGCATTTCTGGAGCTGAGGTGCCTTTGCAGGGCAGTGTCACTGGGGAACTGAGTGCTTCCATTCATTTACAAACCAGAAAATAATCTGCAGCTTTTGGAGCTGGAAATATCCCCAAACGTATATGATGTGTTTAGTCCAGTTGCATTATGCATGTCCTTAGCTACGCTGAGGGCTTCTCAGGAGGTGCAGCTATCACCACAGTCTAGACAACTACTTATTCTTCCCTCTGATACACAAGAAGATTTCAGAGAAGGCAGTTTCAGCCTGCTGTCTTTGGGTTCAGCCTGATCTGAGCAAACACTCCAGGAGGGGTGAAGGACACCCGAGGGCTCTGTGCAGTTTGCAGTTCACCGTGGAGAGCTGTAAATTTCCCATGTTAATCCCCTGCCAACCAGATTAAAAGCTTTTCAGATCCTTTGCAGCTTTTATTTTTCTTTTTTAAGAAACAACCTGTAGAGTTCTGTAATCTCCACTGAAAACAGTAGCATTCAGTGAGGTGAGAGGGTGAAATCATAAAATCACAGAATAGTTAGGGTTGGAAAGGACCTTAAGATCATCCAGTTCCAACCCCCCTGCCATGGGCAGGGACACCTCACACCAAACCATGTCACCCAAAGCCTCGTCCAACCTGGCCTTGAGCACTGCTAGGGATGGAGCATTCACAACCTTCCTGGGCAACCATTCCAGTGCCTCACCACCCTAACAGGAAAGAAATGAGGGCCCTGCTTTCTCTACTCTGTGCAGGAAAAAGCTGATACACACACCACCCTTACAGAGCAGGTCCCTCCCCACCCTTTCCTGCTGCTCAGCATCTTCTTCAGAACAGGTTTTTTGGGTAAGGTGATCTGTTTAAACCCTCCAGCTTGGAAGTTTGCTCTATACCATTTCCATAGTAGATTCTGAAGAAGCTTCTAGACAATTACAATGCAACGATGCAGGTGATGGCTGTGGGAGGTGACAGCAGTTGCATAGTAACCTATACCCCTCATGTCCTGCCTGTGTGTTGCTCTCTGACCCAGTGATGCTGCTCTCAGCACACGAGGCCTTAGCATGAGCTGTGTGTCAGTCAAAACCTGAGCAGGAGTTGAGTGAAGGGACACTGAGGTGCCTGTGACTTCAGTAAGACTGCTGCCTGGGACTGCAGGGTGGGCAGGGGCTGGCATGGTTTGTGAAGTTCTGCTTTATATTTGCCTCTTAATGCTTCATAAAGAGTAAAAACTGTGTGTGCTTGCTATCTCATTACTGTGCATAAGATAACTAGGGCTCCTCTGCATGAAATGAGAAATGCATGCCTCTTCTGCTCTGCATTTAAGCAATAATAATTTATGAATCTAATCAGGCTCTGGTTTGCAAGAATGATGAATATTCACATTCTAAATAGCTGAGAAATATTAAAAATGTATGACAGCTTTATTTGTTCCAGCTCTGAGCATTATGGTTGAACATTTTCCTGAATGTCCTGAGCTTTCCCAGCATCATTCAAGCTCTGAACTAGGAAAAGGTGTCCAGCCTGATGCAGAGCTGCACCTGCCCAGCAGACCCATGTGCAGTGCCCTGCAAATGCAGTCCATGTGCCCTCTCCAGAAAGAGCAGCAACAAGATTGTGGCACTATGGGTTTTAAAGTCTCCGTGACAACTTGTTTCAGCGCAGTAGCTAATATCCAAATAACTTTCTAGTACCTGTATTTTTAGAAACTGGGTTTCTTGGAAGTGAAGTTAAGGGTAATGGTTTCCTAATAACCTCCCCCTATTGCTTATCTTACCAATAACTTTGGAATTTGTGTATTTGAGTTGGTGGAAGGATTTGGTAACTTTAATTGTACACGTTTTGCTCTGGATTCCTCTGCAATAATGAAAGCAGATGATCAGCAGTTTTGCTGCCCTTAATAAGGTGTTTAATTAACAAATCCTAGGTTGCCTGCAGAGCTTCACATTGTAGGGAAAGTATGTCATTTATTTTTTAGATCTCTTCCTAATCACTTTCTGTATTTTGCCTGGCTCTCACAAAGGTTCAGCATTTGATTTGTTTGTCTTACAGTGATCTTTACATAAGACCAAAGCATGATTTTACCATCTAAACTGATACTGGTCTGTTGAAGAGCCCATCATATAAGAAGTTAATTTGAAATGCATGTTTGTATGGGGGACTTTTTTTTGGTACTTCTTTTGTTGATATCGATATAATTACCAGGCTGAAAGAACTGAGAAACAGAGAGAGAAACATCTTCTGTAGTCCATTGTTCCATAGGGATTATTCTGATTTTTTTACGTTGGTATTGAGTTTGGGGCACAGCTCACGCTGAGGTCCCATTATCTATCACACTGAATTGCCAAGTAGTGTGTCTGCAGTCAGCCAGCATATAGAGGTCTGTGGTATGCTGCACATTTCTTTGGGTTGGTTTTGGTTTCCAGAAATTGCTTATCTACATACAAAAGGAAAACTCACATTTCTGCCTTACAACTCCCTGGCTGAGCGGTACAGAATCAGCACCTTGGGAAAGAGTTGTCATACTTATGAATGAAAATTAGGTCAGACAACCTGGAGTTTCAGTATTTATAAATTTCAAACACTTTGGACTATGAAACTGACAATAATGGAAACTACCAACCTGCAACCTGAACACAGAAAAAAACCAATTTCCTTTTACCCTGTGGTTTTCTATGTTCATCGTACACAGGGCTGAGGCTCTGTGTATGGCTTTGTGCGAGCTGACCAGGTCCTGCTTGGCTGGTCAACACTGGCTGGTTAGTGCCTGTGAAAGGCCAGGCTCTGGACTGATTAATTTTGTACCTAACTGGATCAGACAAAATGGGAGCGTGATGAAGGGTCATTATCCCTGTTCCATGGGCTGGGAAATACAAGACAGTTACTCATTGAAAGTCACACAATAGATGCATGGGTGCCAGATGCTGTAGGTGCCAGAGATGGGATTTAAACCCAGATGTTCTGAGTGCCAGCTCAGCACACTGCGTTCATAGTTACCTATCCTCTCAGAAATCCAAGAAGGCTTTCTGACTGATTCAGTTTTCAGAAAATTTTGGCTGCCATAAAGTAATACTTGAGAGAACCTACAATTTGTTAACGTGGAAGGCTATTTTTACTAATGAATTTAGCCTTTTGTTAGGTAAAAGAATGACAATTAAAGCAGCTTTTCAGAAGTGGACGTTACATTACGGCATGCATCTGAAGTGACTTGCCAGTAACACCCGAGAAGCCTATGTTAGAAGATATAATTCTAATTCCACTCGGTGCTGCAGTGATTTTCAGATATCCTTCATTAATATTTCCTTCCTCAGTTTTCCTCTGTTCGTTGCCACATTTTTTTAACTTTTCAGATCACTAAAATTGTATTGTTTTCAAATTGATAAAACCACTTCCTTAGACCAGAATCAAAGGAGCATCTCCGGTGGATATGATTGAACTGATTTACAGCAAAGGACTAGCATTTAACAAGGAAGATGCTACCTTCAATAAAAAAAAGGGGGGGGGGGGGGGAGTCTATAACTCTAAAGACTGCAAGTTTTGGAGCATAAATGACAATGGAAGTATATGGAGCCTTTAGGATTAAACCAAAGGCCAGCTCAGTTAAGCCAAATGGAGCATTCCTAATCTGACATGTTGACAAGGACCCCCCTGCCTATTCCAAAGGGAGTTTCAAATGAATCCAGATTTATCTTATGTTCCTAACAGGGGCTGGGCTGGCTCCAAAGGAAGTTATCCAGGCCAAAAATAAACAAGATACACATGAAGCTTTTTGTGCCACCAGGAAACCTTCCAGGGAATATGTGGAGAAGAGAAGGAAAGCCAGAAGAATCACAGCTTAAGATATCTTTCCTCTCTCCTCATTATATCCTGTCTCTATTTCTTCAGAAAGTGTAAATCCAAGTTTCTTCCCCATGAGACTTCTTGCCCTTCTATTCACTTTCCTCATCCTTGCTTCCCCAAGAAGACTGCTCCATGTGGTGTTTCTCCCCAACACCCAGCTCCTCCCTATCCTGCAGTTGCAAGGAAGCAGCTACAGAGATGCTCAGTGTTGAAGTGCTGATCCTGCATCTGCTAACATTCATTCTTGATTGCTGCCTTCTGCAAGAGCCGGCTGGAGCTGAACAGCCATGCTCTTCCCAGGAGTCTGTGTGCATAATATGAATTATGTAATGCTAAAAAGCAAATTTAGCCTTCTCCATGCTTTTACCATGGCAGACACAGTCACAGTGATTGCAAATATCAGGACCAGCACCTTTTGCATTTATGTTTTGTCAAACTGGGACCAACCTTTTAATTTGCTAAGAGACCCCAGGAAAGCTGTCCTGGTGGCACACGTTGTTCACTGCACCATGTCTGACCAGGTTCTGACATGGGCTTTATAATTTGCTGGAGCAGAGTCACTAAATTACATACTGCTATGAGATGTATAACCCCACGAGACACAGAACAGCTCCTTAATACAACAGCCTTCAAAGAGGCATGAGCTCAAATAGCACTGCAGAGGACAAAGCTTCCCAGTGTTAGATACAATATTAGTTCTACCTCATGAAACATTATAGGCTCCATTTTCCAATGAAATCCAAGTTTGTGCCCATAATAATAGCATGTTCAGAACTTGTTGCCAATGTCTGCCTAGCTATGTAGAGACAATCATCAGTGCATGCAAAAAGGAAGGCTCTAGAGCATCTACAAATGCAACTCCAGGGTTTCAGCAGTGTATGCTATACATACGCAGGATAGAGATGGTTATGCCTGGCGGTGAGGGCCAGGGTACAAAATATGAGTCTCAGAAGGATGTTTTCTAACCTGAACTGTAGATTTTGCAGCAGCCTTAGTATTCTGTTGGTTACATTTTGAAAACCAGAAATCTGGTCTGGAGGTGTGTGTTACCTCCCATCTAGTACCAAGATTTACATTTTCTGTGTGAATCTCTAGTTATCAAAATGACAACAGTCCTGTTTGTCCATGAATTGTGTTATTTACTATCCCCAGTGATAATGGCCATATTCTTGTAGAGTTTGATACTTGAAGGCAATATGCTAACAGAATTAAATGTGAAAAAGGGATAACTAGTGTCACCTGCAGCAGTGAAAAGTTTTGCAGAGAGATGGTATAGGATGTTACTACAGTATAGAAACTTGTTGAAACACTGCACAAAAAATAGGCAAGTGATGATCAATGATTGTGTTTGTGTTCACCACAGAGTCACGCTGACTTTAATAGCACTTGATTGTACACAGCAAAGGAAGAATTTTTATTACATAAATATAAGTAGATATCTATATGGATGAATGTGTGTGCATTCAGGTGTAACACTGCACAAAACTGCAGCTGCTTGGTTTTGTCCTTTTGCTATAATAATTCACAAGGCAAAAATTTATTCTGATAATATTACAGTACATTTGCTCCATGTACCCAGGGGCTTTTTGTATGTTTGGGTTTTTTTTGTATGTATCAGGAAGGTAATAGGTAGCTGGGGCTTAGGCTTCAAGCAGATGCAAAAATGTGAGGCTGGACAC